AACAGAGATTACCGAAACATCATAGACCCTATTACTAATATCTAAAGAATGGCAGTTCCCAAAACGTCGTAAGAGCTGAAGCCTAACGATAGGCGGTTGTCCGAAACGTTGTTAGAGTTAACATTTTTAAAGTCTGACGAAGTGTGGTTGTCCGAAACGACCTAAGAGTTCTGGCACTGAAGTGAAACTAACAAAAGGAGTTATCCAAAACATTGTAAAGACTGTAGCTCTGTAGTCTAACGAAGAGTGGTTATCCGAAACGACCTCAGAGTTCTGGCACTGACGTGAAACTAACGAAAGAAGTTATCCAAAAATTGTAAAGAATGTAGCTCTGTAGTCTAACGAAGAGTGGTTATCCGAAACGACCTAAGTGTTCTGGCACTGAAGTGAAACTAACGAAAGAAGTTATCCAAAAATTGTAAAGACTGTATCTCTGTAGTCTAACGAAGAGTGGTTGCTCACAACGTTATAAGAACTGAAGTAAGGTTGTAGCTAACGGATATCAATTGTTGTCATTGTTACTACAGTCATTTACAAGATCATCTAAGTATAATTATTAATTAGTAACCAATTTTTATTGATATTTGTATTTAATTTTGTTTATTTATATGTTTCTATTTTTATATAAGTAAATACTAATTACTCATTAGTTTTATGATTCGGATTCTAATCTGCCGCAATCTTCAGGAAAGTTCTGGGAAGGTAGTATCCAAGGTTCGATTCTGGATCTTCTTCATATGGTCTAGTGCTTAATCAACTCTACTGGGGTTTCCCTTATTAGAACTTAAATCAATAACTACTTGCATGTTTTCAAGAGAGGCAGCCGGTTTTACTGACTTCTATGCCAGGTTGATTGAGTGTATTGTCAGCTATGGGATATGGACGGTTTCTTTTATCTCTACTTTTCTCGTGTGGTTCATATTCTATTATTTTAGTATCGTTTCAAGTTATCATATGGTCATCTTTTCTGGCATGATTGAATGTTGCAGATAGATTGGTATTATCGAGTCTTGTATATCTATTATGCTCTCGAATTCTAATTTTGGTTAGTGTTCTTGTTTCTCCAATGCACTGAAGTCACATTCACAGGTGATGTTGTAATTCGCGTTCCATCTGTACATTTAGGCCGTATCGTATTGTGTTGCGGCTTCTAATTACTAGTCTGACTTTATGCTATTTACATTCTCTTTTTATGTTTTCAGAAAGACCTCCGACATTAGGGAATATTACAGTTTCTTTAATTTCTTCCTGTATATTCTTAGTGATCCTATTATTTGTTAAGTGTTCCTCATATCCATTGTTAACGAAGTTTATGGTGATGTCTTTTTCTTTACTGTGCTTTGCCTTTATGACGTAATATAAATGCATGGCGAATCTTTACAGTTAACTATAGAACAGAGGTGGTAGCATTGTTTGTGAATTTTAGGTAAACCATAGATTTATGGGGTGGTACTGTGATGTACTGTTAGTGGTATGACTGTCTCTGTTACAAGTTTTATTTGGTGTTTCTTGAGAAGTCTGTTACTTTTTTCTACGTTTTAGTGTTTGAAGTGACCATCTTTAACTAAAATTTGGAGTTTGATAGAGTATTCATACTTGTCCATGATTATTCTGGTATTACTGTTGTCTACAGGTTGAATTTTTTTATTTGTCCTTCGCCAACGTGGATGTCCAGTCTGCGTTTTTTCAGCGAACTAGGGCTTATTTTTTCAGTCGCTTTACTTTTTGCTGTTATCTTGTATTAATATTGTTTTTTTAACAAAACTACATTACTTAATGTTGGCTGGTTAAGGAGTGGCTTGTTTTTATTGCTAAATCTGATCACCCTATTCTTTCTGAGGGTAGTTTTCTTTTTGTATTTCCTTTTGGTATTGTACTATAGTTTACATTTAATGCTTTTTCTGGACTGCTGTCTTTATTTTTCTGAACTCTTTCACTTCTTTTGGTAGGCTATACATTGTGTTTTTCGTGTGAGCTATAACTCAGAAGGATATTTTGTTATGTTTTAGGGCGAAGGCTAGTCCATTGCTTAGTAAACTTTCTTTAAGTGTTGTTGGTGGTCGTTTATTTACGTTTATTACTGCGCGTTTAGATGTTTAGATAAGTGTTATAAAACTTCTTGTTTTGAGAATCAATGAGTGAATTGTATTCCTTTATTGGAATTTCTTTATTACGCGCGTGTGTATGTTGGCATGAAGTTTGAATAGCTGCGCGTATCTTGACAATATCTGTTTTGTATTATCCATCTTCTGATATAGATCATTAAATCAGATACAGAATAGCTCATAACCTTCTGTGTCAATACGATCTACTTCCAACATGACGACAAACACTACCAAAAACAAGAATAGTTATCAGTACTCAGTAATCTCTACATGGAAATTAACGCCTTGAAAATAATCTCTCTGCACCCCAAGACTTGGCTCACACATGTTGATGATGCATCCGTAATATGGCCATATACAATACAGACAAGAAACGGGAATTATTGTATTCCCTGTATAGACAGCAACTCGTAATACAATTCACAATAGAAATAGGAAAAACATAAAGTCTTTTTCCTTTGACGCGATGGTTGCCAAGACACATAACTCATATATCACAGGAGTTTATAGGAAGCCCATAGATACGGGTAAATATCTCAACTATAAATCAAACCACCCCAACAATGTAAGGACAGGCGTCGTATACTACCTAGTTTGCAGAATGAACAATATTTGTAACAACGTAAATGTTAAGGAAGAAGGATGAAACCTCGTCATTGCAGCTATCCTTAACAGTTGGCAAAAAAAAAAATAAAATCAAAGAAGATTAAGACTGGTCAGGAGAGGGAAAAAAACACCATTTACCACATCCTCTGTGAGTGTGGACTCCAATACGTTGGAGAGAGAAAAAGTCTAACAATAACTAGAGTTCAGGAACATAACAGATATTCAGAACACGATAATACTGATCTATTTGAACAGGTCATCATACCAGCGAAGAAGACCATGCGATAAATTGAAGTAATACTAAAATAATAGGATATGAATCATATTCGAGAAAAACGTAAAAGAAGCCTTCTATATCCATCTAACTGATAACACTCAGTCAACCTTGCATAGAAGTCAGCAAAACCTAAATATCCTCCTTACAAACGTTCAAATAGTTAGATTGTTAAAACTCTATTGGAGAAGACCCCCGTCAGGTGAATAACGCACTAAACTTTATATTAACAAACAATTTCTGATATTAAGATTAAAAAAAACTAATTATAAAAAACAATCTCTGACTCAACGGCAGAAAATATAACTCTTTTGGTCCGGAAATCCAGAACCTTCAGAGTAAGGTATATAGCGGAGTAGGTCATAATCCAGGAATCATTTTGCCGTATTGTTTTTTTATATCCACGTGGACATTAAGGTGTTGCTATCCTGCCAAAACAGACTAGCTGCACGCTACAGTCATGCCGCCATCATTTTAGTAATGCTCTCTCTCCCCTTATCCTTGTAGTACTCTTACACTTCACTGAGAGAAAAAAAAATTTCTTCGTTTCTTGCCTGATTTTGAATCTTTCTACTCCTTTGCATAGTCGAGATTAACATCATGCCGAATCATCTTCGCTCTCTTCCCAATTTGAGGGCAAGTCGTCGGATACACCCGTAAGTTTATCATTCCTATAATCAGACGTACTTCACTTTGGGTGCTTCACAGCACCTCCTCTGCCGAAGCTTCTCTGAACTCTCTTACGGCTAACTTTTTATAAGCAACTAGTGCGTAGTCGAGATTGCATCCACACCTACTACACTTGTAACGCCTCGGACATTTTGCTACTTAACATTTGCAGGTTAACTTTGAATCCGACCTCACTTCCATCTTAAAAACAAAAAACATTCAGGTATTCTGGCTCGTTGTTTCGGAAGTTCCTCACGGGTTTTGAAAAAGTTCAGGAATGGTGAGTGTTCCATAGATAATGTACTAAAACAATGCCTTGACCATTGTCTGAATTAGTGTAAGAAAAAGAAGATCAACCCACCTATACTGAGTAAAACCAATCATAACTTCTTTGCCGGGTATAATTCCCACAAAGTGCCCTACCATTTCTGGTGCGTTGAGCCAGAGATTGCTTCTTAGGAAGATGACAGCAGATTAATGGCTGAAACCAGGAAAAAACTAAATAGCAAATAGTATCTAGTTATATAAAAAGTAAATAAATAAATAACTCAAAATCTATAAAAAAAAACGTGAGTAAAAAATATAGAAATACAAAATATGTTGCTAACTATTAATTTAGGTTAATTGATCGTATAGATTGCTTGCAATGATAATAAGCTCTAGCTTTGATGTCTGAGAAAAGGAAGTCTCCGAAAGCTGAAGTTTTTAAGTCTGATAACGAAAGGGTAATTGCCCAAAACCTCGTAAAAATACAATATAATAAGTTGTACGCTGATTTATTGCTATTTGTTTACATGCTTGCGACTATTTTTACAGCACGTGGGGACAGTTAAGTGATTAAGTGAGTAAAACGAAAAATACGATTTCCCTTTGGTATTTTTTTTGTTTGTTTGAATTTAAGCACAAAGCTACAAAATGGGCTATCTGTGCTCTGCCCACCACGGGTATCTAAACCCGGTTTCTAGCGTTGTAAGTCCGCAGACATCCCGCTGTACCACTGGGGAGGGGGTCCTTTTGGTATTGACAATATACGTGGAAGTGTTATTTTAATACCGTTGACAGTATAACTGTTATTTTTTCGTTCCTCTTTTTCTATTTATTTGTCCTCACAAGTCTTTCACTATCTAAGTGCATGAAATATATAAAGTGAAATCAAACACAATTATTTAATTTCATTTAGATCTCAATGACGGTTACCAATCATGATGTGGTTTAACCGAAGTGTGGCAGAAAAAGAATAGTTTTTGGTTCTTTCGATGTTTGTAAAATATTTTGCAATTTGTTTTGTTTTTGTTATTTAATAAGACACCAAGACAGTTTAAAGAGTTCCTTTTTTTTATTTTCAGGTTCCGACAAGGATTTAAGAAAGTGTTTATGCTGTGTTTTTGTCGACGACGTGAAGATGCAATGAAATTCTACGAGCAGCGCCACCAAGCATTTACGCGTTACAGTTGCTCAGAACCATACGCCGACACTCGCGTCACCTACAACGGTAACGTGAACGTCCCTTTGCACACCGTTACCGAGACGTTTAACAGCAGTGGAGCTTCAAGCAGTCCTTTCCTTCTCTCAAAATATGGACACAAAGGACAACGACGTTCCAACGTTTAGCCCGAGATAAATGAAGTTACACTGCATCCGCAAAGATTCTTCACAGCTTTGGCAAGATTAACAAGAAAAGCTTGTCGTATGACTAACTTATGCTTCACTGTCCTCCCTAATCCTTACTCATCGTATATTTGTTGGGCTTTAGTTGTTAAGGCAGATATTTATATACCTGCACTATGTCCTTTTTACTATCATAAACGCTTGTTACAGTTACTCATACGTGAAATAGGTATTTTGTGCTGAATCTCTTTCTGTTGAGGACAGGGATTACTTATTATCGTAGGAATACGTTGAAGACTCCATGACCGATAGCGTTGCTTGAGTGCCAAGTGAAGCATTAGGAACCCTAAGCTAGACACTTTTTGCAACATTGCAAGACATACCACATCAGGGTAGCTAATAACTAAGGCACCGCCCTTGATACCCAAAATTGAATATTAAGCTCACGATCTCTTAAGAATGTGCGGTGGTCAAGAAGAGCCTCGATCAAAATAATTTCTTTATAACTCGAATAAACTAAAAACGTAACAAAGTCACAAAGCAGCAAATATAACAGCACACAAAAGTAAAACTAACCAATACAAAATACTTCTTGTAAATTCTAGTATCGTAACTATCTAATATTTTGCAACTTGAAATAAGGTACATAAAATCCAAGTATAAAATAAAATGGTATGAAATATATACCGTAAAACATAAGAAGAAAATGTGGTTATAAGACAAAGTATAAACTTTACTAACTACAGGATTTCCTTAACACTGTAGAAATGATACAAATAATTAATAAAACTGTGGACCAAAAAACCTCTTAGATCTAATTGCGCTGGATGAAAGCTTTATTCTATTAGGTGACCTGAGAAACGATAATAAGGACACTTAGCTGTACGAGCATGCTCGCTTATTCTGTATAGAGAACGAAATAACGATTTAAGTAGAGTAACAGTGCATATTAATATAATTAATATACTGAAACCTTTGTACACTAATGAAGCAAACTCAATGTGTAGTTTAGCTGTCTCAAATGATGGAAAAGCACACTTCTTCCTTAACCTTTGTCTTTCTAGCACTGCCCAAATTTCATTAGGTGTTAGGAAACATATCTATTTATTTTTACTTGTTTAATGTTATTGTTTGTTTGTTTGTAATTAAGCACAAAGCTACACATTGGGCTATCTATGCTCTGCCCACCACGGGTATCGAAACCAGGATTTTAGCGTTGTATGTCCTCAGACATGCCGCTGTGCCACTGGGGGGGGGGGGGCATTTGATGTTATATAAACAGCGGACTTCATTGAGGTGACTGTGCTAGTTTATCGGGTTTTTCTTTTTTGTTTTTTGGTCATTTAACAAAACTGATACAAGACAGATTTTTAGATATGTACTTCATTTGAGTTATTAAATACTATCACACGAAAATAGCTTCTGTATATTAAAGTATCAATACGTACTACAAATAGTAAACAGATAAAGCACCACAGTCAGGCTACAATTGGATTCAGCATTATATCCTCGACAGGCCCAATACATTTGCAACAAAAGAACGGTATTGTACTATATTATGTCTGAACCTTAAAATGTTCTTTAAACAGTTCAAAGGTAGTAACTTAAAACGCTGATGTGAAACGAACAATAAATAATGGTTCCTGTCATCAACATAACGTTTTGT